CTGATTTTTTTTTTTTGTTTTTCCTTCAAGGAAATCGAAGTGGTGACTGTGTGAGCCCGCATTGGGACCGGTCACTTGTGCTTCCGTTTTTCTTGACGAACTACAAAAAAGTCAAACCGACATCATGGGTTGCTACAAGTACCTCGAGGAGCTGTACAAGCGCAAGCAGTGCGATCTGCTTCGCTTCATGCTGCGTATCCGCGCGTGGCAGTACCGCCAGCTGACGGCCGTGCACCGTGTGACGCACCCCACTCGCCCCGACAAGGCGCGTCGCCTCGGCTACAAGGCCAAGCAGGGTTACGTTGTGTACCGCGTGCGCGTCAAGCGCGGTGGCCGCAAGCGCCCTGTTCCCAAGGGCCGCACCATGGGTAAGCCCAAGGACCAGGGTATCAACGAGCTCAAGTTCCAGCGCAGCCTCCGCAGCCAGGCTGAGGAGCGCGTTGGCCGCAAGTGCGGTGGTCTCCGTGTTCTCAACTCGTACTGGGTTGCTGAGGACGGTACCTACAAGTTCTTCGAGGTTATCCTCGTTGACCCCGCCCACAAGGCCATCCGCCGTGATGCCCGCATCAACTGGATCTGCAACCCCGTGCACAAGCACCGCGAGCTCCGCGGCCTCACCTCGGCCGGCAAGCTCAACCGTGGTATGCACAAGGGTAACAAGTTCACCAAGAACCACCACGGTTCTCGCCGCCACAACTGGAAGCGCCGCAACACCATCAGCCTCCGCCGTTACCGATAAGCGCCTTACCGTGCTTGCGCTTGTCTTCTGCCAACTCTGCCCGCTTGGGTTCTTTTCGAGTCTCCTAGCGAGTGTTGTTTGGTGGAGCATGATCGCGTGTTGCCCGTGGGCTTGGTCTGTCTGGTCCGGTTTTCTCCCATCCGGCAAATCGAGCGTCCTCCCATGAGGTCAAGAACAAAGCCATGTCTCAAAAACTGTCATTTGCATCTTTGCATCTTCCACTTCACATCAGAGAGAGAGAGAGAGAGAGAGAGAGAGAGAGAGAGAGAGAGAGAGAGAGAGAGAGAGAGAGAGAGAGAGAGGAGAGAAAGTCACGGAGATAAGGTCAATTACATGTCAGGCAAGGGAGGGGGCTTATGTTCAAGAAAAGACATGCTGGGCTTTGGACAGCGGGGCTTTGGACATGAGGGCCAGAAACAAAAAATGGAAAAAAAAAAGGATCAAACGAACGGAAGGACCCGCTCAACGACACAAACACGGCAATATGTCGGCACGACGGGGATCAGACAAGAGAGAAAAGCAACTCGGGGGAAAGAAGGCAACAACAACCAACAGCAAGCATAAAAAGGCCTAGCTAGGGACGGACACTTGAAAAAAAACCAAAAAATCCATCAATCTATGTGCGATCCGCACTGGCGCGGGAGACATGGATGGGGTTCACGGCAGACAAAGTGACCAGACTTTGTCAAGGTGAGACCCCAATACAGTCGAGGTGAGGCTCAAATGTAGCGAATGGGTGCGCCTGCACCTCCCACTCGGACCAAAGTCAAGCCCCTTCATCTCCATGGGTGAGGGGTGTCCTGCAAACAGTCAACGCAGCCAGGGCTAGCACGGGAGAAGGTGCCAAGGCTATGCACGCTCAATCTTTGTGCTAAACTTGAGTCCCCGCTCGAGCTCCTCCAGCTCGAGCACGGCCCGCTGCATGTCGCTTTCGTGCCAAGAGGCCTGCTCTTTCTGTGGGAGATGGCAAATACCCAGACATGGGGGTTAAAGATCAAGTCAGCCAGGTCCCATGAATGGCCAAGCAGAGAAAAGCCTCTTCATAGGGCCAATGGCGTACCTCGGCGGACCGGACCGCCTTGGACATTGACTCAAGGCGGCGAAGATGAGTGTCTTGCGTCAGCTCCTCGCCTTCTTCCTCCAGTCCCTGCGCCTCGCGGGTGTGAGCGGAATGAGGATGAAAATGAAAAGACCAGATTGGTACAAAATGCTCCCCCGTGCGCAACTTCTGCGAGTGCTGGCCCAACCTGGAGGGCGTAGCGACGGTAGAGATAGGCCAGAAGGACGGGAACGTCAAAGGAGACGGCCCGACCAAACATGATGCGAGACGTCTCACGCCGGAACTGATATTTTTCGGCCAGTGTCTTGTAAGCGTCGTCGGTGGGTGCGCCGTGTAGCAGTTGAATCAAGTAAGCGTGTTTGAATGCCATTTCCTGCCAGGCAAAGTTCGTTCGGTTGTGGGGAGGTCCTCGGGTGAGGGCTTGCGTAGGCTTGGCGGCCAAGCACACGCGCTTTTTTAAACAGCACAACAGTATTTAACCAGTTGTCGCATGCATGGCATGCAAACAAACCTCGAGCACTGCACCTAGGAACTTGGCGCGAATGTGAAAGACGCCGCGCTCGAAGGACGAGAAGCGAAAGACCAAGTCTTCAGACCTGAGTTTGAACAATCAATGAGACTTGTCGCGCGACCGACGACGACACTGGATGCAGAGGAATCAAATGCCAGCTTGCTAGCCGTGCGGGCGGCCAGAAGAAGGCTTATGGACGGCCAGGGGCGGGGCAGAGGGGCGGCGAGCCGAGGGCAAACACGCACCGCGCCAAGCTGAGCTCTTTGGATTCCTGCTTGAGCACGCCCTCTTCGTTGAGCTCGAGGGCATTGACTTTGAAGCTGCCAAAAGCCAACGGCTTTTCCTTGGAGTTGCGCCCACCCATGCTGGCTGCTATTGCACCAAAAACGGAGACGTGAGAGTTTCTGGATAGAATCGATAGCAGCCGAGCGAGGAATTTAGGTGCTCAGGCTCGGAATCACCCGCTTCGCAAGGTAGGAAAAATGATGAACCGAACCAAAGGCACCTCCAAATACCAAGCGTTGCACAACACCTAGAGACTAGAGACCGACGCGAGACCCCCCCCACACCCCCGAGGACATCAAATGCAGGGCACAGGAGCAGCAGCTCAGGCAGAGGAGGCGCAGCCGGATCAAACGACGACGCCCCTGGATAGAGGAAGGAGCGAGGGAGTGGCAGAGACACGTGACTCTGGGTTGGGATGGGTAGGGTCAAACACCTTGGGTTTTACATAGGACTCAGAGATGATTCTCGAGGGGTGTATGTTTGTTGTTGCGATTCAACACACACATCATGTGTGTGTGTGTGTGTGTTGGCAAACTCAGATCTTCATTGTCAGACTTATTTGTCAGACAAATGCAAATGTTGGCAACCAAGAAATTTTTTTCATTTTTGAGAGAGAGAGAGAGCTCTGATCTCTGCTCTCTGGGGCTGGTGTCAGTGGTGCTGGTGGTACTGGTGCTGCTGCCTGGACCCGGGCACACAGGAGTTTGAAGGACGTGGAATATCAACGCCACAATTTGCTCACACAGCATGGCGTGGAAACCGGATATGGGAACCCTGTTTTGGGTGGTTTTGGGTATCTGGACGACCTATCAGACGGATCTGCGCCACGCCCTGCTCGAGGACCCGCGAGTGAACCGGTACGGTTCGCTGAACCTCTGCGTACCCTGAGTTCACACGCCCGTCCGACCGACGTGGGTGCTGCTACTCTGCACAATCGTTTACACACGCTCTGCCCTCACCTGGTGTCTAATCCATGCACATGGTGCGCGTTTCCGAGCAGCGGCTATTTGCAGCTGGCCTTGGTCATGCTGTGCCTCCTGCCCCTCGGCTTTGGACTCAGCTTCATCTACACTGATTTGCCCGCCACGCATCCCTATAATCTGGCAGTTCATGGAGCCGTATCGGGTGCTGCCCTTTGCATGAATGCAAGGTTGGAACGCGATGAACATGCACCCCTCCCGCTTCAAGATGTTCGAAACCTCACACTGGGTCTGCCCTGCGCTCCAGCTTGATGATGGCTCTTTGGCCCGTGTACCACATCATGACGGTTCCGATCGTGCTCGCCGTTTTCATGGGTTTCCTGATGCTCCTTCTTCTGGTTGCTCCCAATGCACCACGCCCAGTCAAGACGCCAAAGCAAATGCAGTAGCAGCGACCAAGGCCCTGGCCATTGCCTGCAACACTTGGGCGCTGTGCGCCTCGACCAGTCCTACCCTACTCTCATGGCCGATCCACTTGAACCGTCTTCTCTGTGCATGAATGCCTTATTATTCTACCCCTCGAGCATGCTCTGATGAGAACAAAAGCAATCGTGCCACCAACGTGCATAAAATAGCAAGCACTCCCGTTCACGGGTGACTACGACTGAATTTCCCCTAGCACGGCTCGCGTCTTCACTAAAATTGTCATGTGTTTCCGCATTATCCCTCTTTCAGACTCTCAATTATTGTTCTTTGTTCTGTTTCTCGCGGAGATCATATCTGACAAGTGTCTCGAGCACAGCGTTGCGGCCGTGGTCGGGGTTTGGGTGGGGTAGCCAGCACGTCACGCAGAAATGATGGCCTCCAATGCAGGGGCCACCTCACCACGCGATGAGATGAGGGCAGCAACGCTGGCTCCTCCGTCAAAGCCCATGTCTCGTAGCATTGGCAATTGCGCCAAAACCTTGCTTCGCAGTTCGGGTTCCTCGGTAGCCTCGGTCACCAGAATCACATCATCAGGACTGCATTCCTTGGCCCGGTCCAGCAAGTCTTGCAGCTCCATCAAGTGGGAGAGCAGCTGTCCCACGGCATGCCACAACAAAGACCCGAGTGAGCACATGGCCATACCAGCATGCCGTGGCCAACACAGACACAGACACAGACACAGACACAGACACAGACACAGACACAGACACAGACACAGACACAGACACAGACACAGACACAGACACAGACACAGACACAGACACAGACACAGACACAGACACAGACACAGACACAGACACACTTGTCATCCAACCTCTTTCTCTCTCTCTGTCTCTCTCTCTCTCGCTTGTCCTCTCTTTGACATTTCAAAAAATAAAACAACGTGTCCCAAGGTTCGTTGTAGCACACATTGGCTTTGACGAAAAGCATCTCCTCACCTTGTCGGGATCATCTCGGCCATGGCGGCGTACGACAGATTGCACCAGGGGCTGAGCAAACCCCATTTGGACCAGGCGGTCCTGGACAGTCTCCCCGCCCTTGGCAGCGGGTGCGGGCGAGTCTTTGGGTACCGCGGCCCGTGTTGGCTGGCTACCCGATTGGGACGAGGCAAAGACTTCGCCGGGGTTGCTAGTTGAAGGGGAGGCATGTGCCAAGCCATCCGAACCAAGCCATGAGCTCAGCTCTGACGCTAATGCAGCAACCTCATCCTCGGATGTGGCGCGTGGGCGCGTAATTGGCTTTGTAGTTGAAGCCGACGTGGGTACGGCCATAGGGCTTGACGCCGGAGGGGTCGCATCTGCGGCCTTTGGCGCAGCACTTGCGTGCTCGGCTGCTGCCGGGGTTGGATCCTGCTCACTCGATTCGCCCACACCACCATAGAGCATCTGAAGCATGGTGTGGTGATCCAAGGAGGCCAGGGTGGCATCATCAAAGGGGGTTGTATTGGAAAGGTGATCAAAATGCGAGATGTTGACACCGTCATCTGAGGTGGCCGACGGCGGGGCAGGAAAGAGGAGGTTGATGTGCTCGTCGCGGCCGAAGCGCGCGGGCGACCGCGGGGCTGCTACGGCCGGGGCTGTTGTTGCAACGGTGTCAGCTGACGAGCCGTTGGGTTGACTAGCCCGCTTGGAAGAATGGCGCCGAAAGCGTACCGCCAGCGGGTCGAAGGAAAGCAGGTCATTGGGTGAGTGAGGCACCACCACCTCGTCGGCCGCATCTTCATCACTGTCCTCGGCCGAATCGCCTGCAGCCCCCGCGGAAGCAGGCAAAGTCGAAGCAGGCTCTACCGGCAAAGTGTCGTCGGTGGCAGGTGCGGTGGTATCGACGGCGGGAGACGCAGAGGTGGTCGCCTTGACAGGCTGCGAGGGCGTGCGGCGTGCGGGCGTCGATTTTCGCGCAGCTTCAGTCATCAAGGCTTCGTCCAGCATGGCCATGGCCACGCCGGGCATGGGGCTTGGTGTTCCATCCGAGGCCGCCGATTGTGGGGGAAGATAGCGGCTCGAGGGAGGGGGTGGCCGAGGTGGTTTGCTCGTGGTGGACGCAGCATGGTCTTGCTGCTGGCCCGGGTCAAGAGGTGAAGGCGATGATGAGGCCTCGTTTTTTGCGACCTGATCTGCATCCGAAGGCGGCGGCAACTTTGTTCCAGCCGATGTCTCGTGATTAGGAGCGTCATCATCCGCCTGTGGCGATGCCGCTCTTGAGCTGGGCTCTGGTGTGGGGTCGGCGAGTAACGGTGGAGGGCTCGGCGGAGCCCGGCTCTCCTCGAGAATTTGCCGCTCGCGTGCAAAGTCATAGCTGAGCTGCATGTCGGCAGGCCGCCACATTGTTCCACCAGTGAGAGCAAGGAAATTCGGGCCGCGGGTGCTTCTTTTGTGGGACCAAGTGAAGCAGCGGGGGGTGAGCAAGCACCAAGTACCATGCAGCAAGGTCTGACCTGAACGAGCGCGCGCGCACGCAACGCCAGGTCCGTCGAAGGCTCAAAGGTCAAGTGCTGTCATTCAGCATGCGCGGCAAGACGTGTGAGTGTAAAGGCTTTTGTAACGGCATGGAGCAGGCGCTGGTCAGGTTGTGGGCGCTCGGCTGACCTGACGCTGAATAAACTGGGCTAGCTCCACCGGAATGTGACGCAGGAGCTCTATCGACACGAGCAGGCAACACACAACAGCACCAAAACCCATGCCCTGATTGAGCCTGCGTGGGAGCATGCCAGGCGTGTGTAACCATCCCTCCTTCAAGCTTCTGGAACAGAACCCAAGCCATGGGGCCAGATGCTTGGCCACCGATAGGCTGCCGCTGACCGGGCCATCGCCCTCGTTACGTATGCATGCGGAGCCGTTGCAGCACAGGATTCCATGTCTGCCCTATTGTCATGTTCCCGGCCTTGGTTCCTGAACAAGGCGGCAAAGAAGAACAAGGCAGGCAGACGTACCATGCCCGCGAATCTGGTGGGCATTGGCTGCCATTCCACTTGTCTGCCATTCCTGCCAAGATACGTGAGTTGGCAAAATGAACAGTGAGACACACAGACCCCGGTCGAGTGATCTCGCAGCGCCCCACAGCGTTCCTTGTTCTCCCCTCAACCACAACAAGCAAGCACCACACGCCTCATCCCTGCCCCCCTTGTCGAGCCCTGGTTCAAATTAAAGGCCAGCAGCTTTGGGGATAAGCCGGGCAGCGAGACACACTGGCTGCCATTTGCACCCCAGGTCGTTGTCATCAGATATATCCGGATACACACACACACTCACACACAAATAAGAGAGAGGGAGCTGTCTCTCTTGCGCTGCAAAATGAGAGAGAGAGAGAGAGAGAGCTGGTTACGTCCTCAAGTTTAGAGAGTGTGCAGAAACCTGTTTTAGAACTAGCGAAGAAACAGAGGGTCAAGCAGAGACATGAATCTCATATCATCCATTTTCAGAGCGAAGCCACATCTGCTCCATACCGCCCCCTCTTTGTGAACATTGTCTCATAATTTAAAAACACCCCTGTTATTTTGGGTCTGGGAGTAGAGTGTGTCACTTGTTACAAAAACGTTTGAAAGCGTTTTTTTCAAAGAGAGAGAGCAGAGAGAGAGAAAATTTGTGAGAGAGAGACTGGAACAGGAACGGCAGCGCTAGTGGCGGCTGCTTCATTGATACCCTGCGTTCAAACTCGGTGAAGGCAGCGTGGGCTTTTCAAGTTGACTGGCTTGCGCCATATCCGTTTTCCCTTGCTCAAACGTGGTCTCACACCAGTTGAGAGGGCGTGTACGAGCTCTCTTCCTCTTCATCCTGCTGATCCATCACCTTTTTGACTCGTCATCATGCCAAAGTGGGGCAAGTCCAAGAAGCAGCCCCCAGAGGGTTGGGAGCTGATTGAACCCACCATCGAGGAGCTGGACATGAAGTTGCGCGAAGGTATGCATGGTCTGCTTAGGGTGGACAAGGAAGCGAGCCAAGAGGGGTGGGGTTTGAGCCCAGTTGTGTAGCCAGTATGCGATTTCCTACTCTCACCCGCGCACATTGCATGCTCACCACAGCTGAACAAGAATCACACGATGGCAAGCGCCGGTGCGAGAGCCTCTGGCCCATTTACAGGTATGGATGCTCAGGCCACTGACTATTTGCTCAAATAGTTTAGGCACGTGTCATGTAATGTGCAGCCAAGCGCAGACGATGCAAATTCGAAGCGCCGTCTGGCTTTTGGGTTCATTGGTTTTCATCGCACTCTCATACAGTATCTGGTGGCCTGCCCCTCACACTCAACTTTGCTGTTCTTGTGCAGGATCCATCATCAGAAAAGCAGGTACATTTACGACTTGTATTACAAGCGCAAGGCCATCTCTCAAGGTTGGTTCCGAATCCTCGGTGCTGATGCCAATCTGCTGCTTGAGGAGCGGAGGAAGAACATCCTCGAATTTTTGTCTCCACTCAAACTGCGAGACTACACTGGGATATCGGGCTCAGATGCACTTGAACACGGTCTTGGGTCACAAAATGGGTGAGCCTTGGCTGTCGCTCACTTGGCCATTTATTTTCCTTGCTTAGAACTCTATGATTACTGCCTCAAGGAGAACATTGCCGATCGCAATCTTATTGCCAAATGGAAAAAGGTGTGCCGTGCCAAGTCTTGGCGTGTTTTTGGCGAGGGGGGAAATTTTTTTTTTCTCACAGTGAGTTTCCACATGCGGCAAGAAACAAACTTGGCTGACCTCTGCTGGACCCATTCCTTAGAACGGTTATGAGAATCTGTGCTGCTTGGCCTGCGTCCAGACCCGTGACACGCAGCATGGCACGACATGCATTTGCCGTGTTCCCCGCTCACAGTTGCCCGAGGTGCGTATCCGGATTTCATGTTGTGCATCTTCACCCATGCCTCCCACTTGATGTTGACGGCGTGCTGGTCATTGTCACGTCGTCATTGTTAATGGCACTGATCTGGTTCTGCTGAATTGGCACACAGGGACACGTGGTAGAGTGCGTCACTTGCGGTTGCCGTGGCTGCGGCGGCAATTGATTTCAGCGAATGTAGTGCAAATTTCCTTCCTGCGTCACATACTCTTGTGCAGTCTTGCGCCAATTCCGTTTGGATGTGAGGGCCAGACGGAGACAGAAGCGGGCACTGATGGAGAGAGAGCGAGGGAGTCAAGAGTGAGCAAAACTACACATCATTGTCTTTGCAGGTGAGATGACCAAAGCAACAGCCAGGAGTTGAAGAAGGAACCCACCAACAGGACTTGAGTCACGGACAGAGAGAGGCAGAGAGAGGCAGACAAGAGACAGAGAGAGGCAGAGAGACAGAGGACAGAGAGAACACACACACACACACACACGCACACACACACACACACATACACACATACACACACACACACACACACACACACACACACACACACACACACACACACACACACACACACACACACACACACACACACACACACACACACACACACACACACACACACACACACACACACACACACACACACACACACACACACACACACACACACACACACACACACACACACACGTCCACGAGGCATTGTCAGCAAAAAAAAAAAAAAAGACACCACAACATTTGTAACTGTGTGAGAGAGAGAGAGAGAGAGAGAGAGAGAACCAGGGGCACGATGCCGAAGCGACAGGGTCGATCTCGGCGGCTGGTGCAGCTGGCCAAGCGCCGGAAGGAGGCTGCCGAGGGAGAGGTGGCGCCCGAGGCGTTGCGGGTTTCTGACCCGCCGGAGATTCTGCGTGGTGAACCCTGTTTTGTCGAGTACTATTTGCAGCAAGGTTTGCTGGATGATCGCGAGTGGTCGGCATTTATGCGGGCTTTGCGCCAGCCGCTGCCCGTCACCTTTCGCATCAACAAGGCCAGCGCTCGCCCTGAACTTCTTCAGCCTTGTCTGGGTAGGTTTGTCTTGCTGCTGTCGTGCAGATTTTTTGGCATCGCCAGTCGGTAAGCCTCACACCTCTCTGTTGTCCTCCACCAGAACAAATTGAGGCATTGATCCAGGATCCGTCCAACGAGCTACAGGCCAACGCGCCACGCGCCTTGGGCTGGATCGACGCGTGGCAACTTGGTTGCGCCTCCCAGAGCCTCAAGTTTGCAACCGAGCCTGCCATGCAGCGCCTGCGTCAATGGCTGGCAGAGTTTACCGCCCTCGGCGTCCTCTCACGTCAAGAGGTCGTCTCCATGCTCCCAGTGGCCTTTTTGAACATTGAACCCCATCACAGAGTCCTGGACATGTGCGCCTCCCCCGGATCCAAAACCACCCAGGTGCACACTCGTATTGCATGTATCCGTGCCATATCGGCAACCCCGGACTGACGGCATCATCTTGTCCCACAAATTCGTACACAGGCCCTAGAGGCTTTGCATGCGCAGGGTAACGCCTCGGGGTTTGTCATGGCCAATGATGTCGATGCCAAGCGAGCATACATTCTCGTGCGTCGCCTTGCCCCACTCGGCCCAGCCTGTCAGAAGCTGGTGGTCACACAGCACAAGGCGCAAAAGTATCCCAGCCTGAGCCACGAGCGCGAGGACCGCTACCTGCGGGGCTCCTTTGATCGCATCATCTGTGATGTGCCCTGTTGTGGAGATGGCACGCTTCGCAAATCTCCAGGTGCGTTGAGACATCACTCATTTGCATTTGCCCGCTGGCCATGCCGTTGGGTCGCGAAGCCCCCCTTGGTTGTGGCGAGGGTTGCTTTGGCTGGTCAGGTCATGACTGACCACCGTTGTGGCGTAGACATGTGGCGGCGCTGGCACCCCGGCTTTGCCATTGGCCTGCATACGCTTCAGGTACGCGTTGCTTTGCGCGAGCCCCGGAAGCCCAATCCTAGCGCCTCGCTTTCTGACCGTTGATCCCATGCAGCTCCAAATTGCCATGCGCGGCCTCAGCCTGCTGCGGCCCGGGGGCATCATGGTGTACAGTACCTGTACCTTCAACCCGCTCGAGGATGAAGCGGTCGTGGCCGCCCTCTTGCAAAAGTACGTCCTGCCCTTTGGAACTTTAGCGCGGCCATATCAGCAGGATTGTAGAGAAAAAAAAAAGCCTCGGCGCGGGTTGCCTTGGCTTCACTCATCCTTCCACCTGTCTTGGGCCCTTTGGCTAGGTGTGGTGGCGCTGTCGAGCTCGTCGATTGTAGTGGCCGGCATCCAGACCTAGCACGGCGCCCCGGTGTCTATTCATGGAAGGTATGCAAGTGCCTTGCCGCTCTTGAATAGAGAGATGATGGCAGTTTGCGCACGTTTCATCACCCTTGGACCCCTCTTGGGTCCTCCTTCCATCTCGCCACACTCGCACTATGCTCACCCCATCTTGCCACACTGCATCTGATCATGCAGGTATATGACGACGATATGCGCGAGTTTCCCGACTTTGCAGCCACTCAGCATGACTCGGTTTCACCCAACACACGCAAGATCATGCGCCCCACCATGTTTCCCCCCTCGCCGGTAAGCTCCCGCTATCCACAGATCACACTCCAAGCGGCTCTTCAACATTCGGGTTTCATGAGAGCGAGTTGTTGAAAAAACCACTCTGTGCCAGCAGATTCTAAGGTTTCTGCATGCTCATTCCGATATGCTGCAATTTGGGTTGTCTTGCACTGCCGGCAGGACGTGGCCGAATCACTATGCCTTGAGCGCTGCATGCGATTCTACCCCCACCTCCAAGATACGGGCGGCTTTTTCGTTGCTGTCCTGCGCAAAACAAAGCCGCTGCCCGGTCCGCCAAGCCCCATCGCTGATGCTGACCCTGCGCAGTCGGGGCCTCTGCGCGGTATGATGAAAAAGCGCCTTCGTTTGGCTGCGTCTCCTCCTTCCAATCATCAAACTTTGGTTTGACTTGTTGCAGAGCTAGAGCCACCCCACCAGCCCGCTAGCCTGGCACATGTTCCGGCTCGAGACTCGAGCTCCCTAGCTCTGCTTGTCAAGGTAGGCTGGCATGTGTTTGCGCCTGGATTCATTGCCCGCATTCTCTTTTGATCCGTTCTTTCCGATTTCTGGGGCCAGCTCACTTGACAAGACGAGCGTGGGAAGTGGGTGTGCTCGTGCTCGGTCCTCTCTTCGCAAAGGGTCTGACGAAAAGTGTGCGGTGTGCAATGAATGCGTCATAGCAATTCAAATTGTCGAGTGACTTTGAGCGACATGTTGCACCAAATTTGTTGGCCCGCGGTGCCAAGGGCCTTAGGTTTGTCTTGATTGTTCTATTGTGCGTCTGTTGGAGTGTGTCCCGCCAGGCTTGCTCATGCTTGCTTGTGCACAACTTGGCATCCACAGCATTTTGACATACTTTTCCCCGACGGTACTCGAAAACGTGCTGACGGTATGCGTTGTCTTGAACTGTGCATATCTGGGGCGGGTGAAGAACAGAAACAGGTGAACACCACATAGCTGAGTCTCACGCCCAAAGCTGACCGTCTGCAATGAATAGGTACCACGTGTTCGGGTGGTGTATGGCGGCGTCAAGCTAGCACACCCAATCGCGCGGGAGCGAGGTCTTCTGTTAACCCAGGTGTGGATGTCTGTGCGTTGGATGCACATCCTTTTCGGTTCATAGTGCTGACGGCTCTGGCGGGCTGCTGCAGGAGGGTGCGGCTTGTGTGGCCAGGTTTGCGGGCCGCAACGTGTTGAGCATCAAACGCAAGCCTCTGAAAATGCTCTTGGCCAACGTCAATGCATGGATGCCTCTCGCCAAGCTGGACCTGTCCACACGGCGTCTCAACAAGGTAGGATTGGTGACTTGCTTGTTCAACCCTGCGGCCATGGGTCTTTGCTCACCAAGACTTGGTGCTTGCGAAGGCGCAATCTGGATGCTGTGTGGTGCGGCTCAAAGAAGCGAGTACAGATGAGGAGACCCAGCTTCCGGCAGCAAGCGAGGAGTATGCCCGTGCCCAGTGGCTCTTTGCTGGTTCGGGACTGTGTTTGCCGGCCCAGTTACGCTTGGTGCCGGGCACTGGGGACGATGCGTGGGATCTTGAGCAATCCGCCATCAAGCTGCGACTCTACCACACCCCCGGACAGGAGCACTTTCCCCGTGCATTGAGTCGTCGTCTGCAAGATCGTCTGCGGAAATCCACCCCTGCGTAGCTTTCAGGGCGAGCGTGGGGTCAATATGATGTCAAGTTGTCATCTGCACGACTGCACGGCGTGTGGCCCATCTCCTTTCAATTTAGCCAACGCAAACTCAGTCAAGGAAAAACACCAAACAACCACTACCCATTCTTCAAACTCTGGCTTTTAAGCTGCATCATCCTTTGACTTTGACCCCACCGAGCGCCGTCCTTCAAACCAACCGCCCATATGACAGCGACCCCACACAGTCATGAAAGCAAAAGTGACACCAGAAATTTCTGTCTGCATCTCTCTCTCATCATAACGAAAAAAAAAAAAAAATCTTTCATTTTGTTCTCGACGACACACACATACACACACACACTGAGCGCGCGAACGACAACGATTGGTGGCGACACGATACCCGCCTGCTGGGGTGATCGATTCAACAGCGCACACCTGGTTCTGGGAGGGGCAGAGGAGACAGGACGTGTGGGGTGGGGTGGTTTTTTACCTGCTTTTAGGCTCTGTGCGATCCCGTAGCGCAATGGCTCGGCCCGAGCGGCTCGATCAGAGCACACGAGCACGGGAGGCGGATTGGTCTTAGCTGGCTTTGTGGACTGTTTTGTTTCTGAGGTTGGCTCGGGATGGCGCGCTCGTCCCTGCCGGCGTCGTTGGCTTTGCCAGCGGAGCGTCCGCCATCGCAGTTCAGCACTGGCACGCTGCCGCGATCCTTGGCTGGTCTATACCTTGAGGGCTCACTCGAGCAGTTGCCCTTGGCCGACATCTTGTGTCATGGCTACCTGTACAAAAAGGGGGCCAAGAATCCAGCTTGGAAGCGCCGCTACTGCACGCTGGATCGTAATGGCATCTTGCGCTACTACAAGGTGAGCCTGCAATTGGCCGTCAGGGTGTACCCTGGTGGCGATGGCTCGGCCTTTTTTTTTTTTTTTTTGCCACTTGAGTGTTGTGCTGATGATCTGCTCGTTGCATGGCAATGGTCCACACCAGCACGAGACCGATGAGGCACCGCAAGGGTTTATCAATCTGCACGATCTCATCAATACCGAGCTCGTCGTAACGGGCACCTTTAATCGCAAGCGCCGCTTTCCATTTGGTGAGTGCGTCATTAGCAACTAGCCCGTGACCCAACGCTTGCAGCGCTGCTGACATGCTCTCTTTGGTGAATGGGCTGGTGCAGATATTGTCACAACTACTCGTGTGTGGCACATGGCGGCGGAAACCTCCGGTGATTTGCGGCGGTGGCGTCGTACTCTTGATGAGCAGATCCCTGTCCTCTCCGAGGAACGCTGGGTGCAGGAAGCTGAGGTTCGTGGGCTGTTGAATTGTTTTGCCCTGATCATCGCCTTGATGCTTAGCTATCTATTGTTTTGCCTTGCCTCTAAATCACTGAACTGCCCTACTTTGCCGCCCCACGCTTGCACGTTCCTCATGGCGTGTGCGCTCATGCCTTCCCTTGTCTGCAGTCGATCATCTGCCAGGCAGAGTACGAACGACTGGCAAAGGGTGAGTTCGACGGAACACGCGACTTGGGATGGGTGCCTCTGCCAGGCTCAATTCTTCGCTCGCTTGTTGAAACTGCAGATCCTCTTGATCGTGACATCCTCGCCATGTCTATGGAGCTGCTGGAGCAAAGCGAAGCCCAGGGCACGACGCCGGGCTGGTCGCTGCCATGCGATGCCGGGATCGGGGCAACAGCTCCCATGCCAGTCAAACCACAGCATGACCATGGGCGCCGAACGACCCTGCGTCAGATTGCCCGAAGCGCCTCGCGACTACTTGGGTCATCCCCTAGTGATGTTTCGCGCCGCTTCTCTCGATCGCGTTGGTATTCTAGCTCGGTTGGCGAAGAGGACTCGAGCAGCTCTGAAAGCTCGGATGATGGCATCAGTGTGGATTCGGGCATCCCACGCACCGCCCCCGTCTAGCCGGGGCGGTGTTTGTGCAAGAAGCTGGTCGGGGAGCTCCAAGGATGCCGAGCATCTTGTGTCAACTTGACAATCTTGCCATACGTGTATAGGTCTATTTTCCTCCATGCGTCTGTTTTCATTGTAATTGACGCCGACTTGAGATTTGCTGCCTGATTGTCGCATCACCATTGATGCACCATCATGTGAATATGAGCGATATGGTCCAAGGGCAGGGGTGGGCATGCGCTTGATGTGCGTATGTGTGTGTGTGTGTGCGCGCGCTTACAGACATAGACATAGACATGGACATAGACATAGACATAGACATAGACATAGACATAGACATACACACACTTACTCACTCACTCACACTTACTCAGACTCACTCACACAGACACAGACACAGAACAGACAGACAGACAGACAGACAGACAGACAGACAGACAGACAGACAGACAGACAGACAGACAGACAGACAGACAGACAGACAGACAGACAGACAGACAGACAGACAGACACACACACACACACACACACACACACACAGACACACACACACACAGACAGACAGACAGACAGACACACACACACACACACACACACACACACACACACACACACACACACACACACACACACACATCAAACAGACTGACACTTTTGCCGAGTTTTGATTTGGTGGCAACAAGTGTTACGTTGTTGGTGGGAGATGGCAGAGGCTTGCGGTAGCCGGATGAAAGGGGGTTGTGGTGCCAAGGCCATGTTGCTGCAGGTGTTGCGCGCAAGATTGAACACCCCCAAGTGGTCAAATTTGCTGGGATCCGCCGTTCTTCCAGCGTCGTTCACATGGCGTGCAGTGGGTGCTGGGGGGCTGCTGGCGCTGGCGGCATGCGGCGCTGGAACATGCCTTTTAGGACGCGCTGGCTGTGCCTCAGGTCGTGATGAGCAAGAATGGGATCAGGTCGACGCGAAAGGGAGTGTTCAGGATCAGCGGCAAGCGTTGCGACGAGCGGCGGTGCGTGCCATGGCTGCCAATCGATTGGACCAGCTGACCACCTTGATGCAAACGGCCGCGCAGCTTGGGGACGTGGAGCTGCGCGACCAAGGCCTTGAGCGCCCCTTTCTGAGCGTGGCTGCTCAAGGCGGGCATTTGCCTGCTGTTCGCCTGTTGATCAAGGCGGGCTGCTCACCGCGAGCACAGGATCGTCATGGCATGTCCGTTCTGGAGCACGCCGTTTGGCACAACCAACATCATGTGGCCTATTACCTCGTGACGGCAGCGCGCGTTCATCCAGACGAGGGACCCGACGTTTTTGGCCTGTACCCTCTACACAAGGCAGCAGGATATGGACACGTGCAAAGTGTGAACGTGCTTTTGCAGGCGGGGGCCAATGTGAATTTGCGGACAGCCGCCGTCTCAGCACCGGCGCACTACGAGGCCAAGAGCAAGGGCGAGAGTGCCCTCTCAATCGCTGCGCGGCTAGGGCACCACGAAGCCACCCGCCGACTGCTAGCAGCACCCGAGTGTAACCCTAATCTGGAAGATACACACGGCGAAACAGCGCTGCACCATGCCTGCCGAGCCGGCGATTGGCGAGCAGTGGAGATTCTAATGAATCATGGAGCTGACCCGACCTTGACTGATCGGCAAGGGCGGCGACCAGCCGACGTAGCTCGGTCCAAATGGTTGGCACTGGCCGTGCTCACCGGATTGGCTAGAGCATATCCGACTCGATGCCTGGCCTATCTTGATTAGCGTCATCTCATGCCAAGGCGCTGGAGCACTTCTTCTTCCTCTTCTTTGACCCTTTGTTTATGAACGCGTCGCTCGGACGAGGAGCGCATAAGAGCAGATGGTGCACGGCGAAGAAGCAAAAAAGTGTGACAGGGTAATGAACGAGGGGCCGGCGCAGAGCGCGGGAATGCCGATGAAAGGGATACTTCTTGTTCAATTGAAAACGATATATTCTCTGTTTGCAACTGCGTCCATGTCTAGGCCGTGGGGCGTGCGATCCGGCGGAAGACGGCGAGTCGAACATCTCCATCACCGTGGTTCTCCCCAGCAGCTTTGTTGCGATAAACCTTCTTGCCTTCTTCCGTCGACTGGTACAGCTTGGGGACAATTGGGTCCGTGCGCTATTGCAGACAGAGGGAGCATGAGTGAACGACTGGTGTCCTCAGTACGTTGTTTGGTCCCCTTCCTCCTTAAATGTACGTTCGCAGCTGTCCATCTTTCTCGCGGGGACAGGCAAGTGCGCACCAATTCGGCTTCGGCAACGCGCTCAAACAGGGGGTGACGGTCCAGCGCTTGCACCATCCATTCGTGCATGGCCACAACATCTGTAATTGTATACACAATGCCCTGCACGTGGCTTCAATGAGACTGGGCCAAAGCACCGGCACGGAGGCGGGGGGTCAGCGGGTTTCCTGCATCGACTAAAACCCACCCCTTCGCGTAAAACGTAGGCGTATTCATCGAGCAGGGTGTCGGAAATAATGCGCCATTTATGTTTTTTCTGAGAGAGCGGGCAAAGCGAGCAAGCGAATGGTGAGGCTTGATGCAAATGCAAGCGAGTCAAGCCCAAACGCTGAAACCAGACTCACCTTCTTAAAGTGTGGGTCGGGGTAGAGGAAGAACATCTTGGAGAGTTGGTGCTTGGCGAAATAATTGGGCAAAAACTTCATGGCATTGGTTCGGATGACCCCGACGTTCTGATAAGATCCAGGTTCTTGGCTAAGCAACGCGGGTTGGAAATGCAACGACGGCAAAGTCAGACACGCAAAAGAGAGGCAGGGGGTGTGCCGGTGGGCAGCTCAAGTGCGACACGCTGGTGCATGATAGGGGCACGGCAGCACCGTACATGCGAAGCGCGCGAATGCGATCGTTGACGTAGTCAGCCACCTTGACGCGAATTTCAATGCCCAGCATGAGGGTCTCGGGGAACATGCCGCTCAACTCCACTGTCATGATAAGGCCGGGCGAGGGCGACAGAAGCAGCACACGGCATGAGGCGTCGTGCGCATTGTCACCATGCCAACTCTGGATGCAAGCGTACCAAGCAGGCCACCATAGCCACAGCCGACATCGAGAAACTCGACACGGCGGTGGCTGTGCTCTGGCTCAGCCACGATCGGGTATACGGGCGACCAGTCGCCATCGACTGGCTTGATCGGGCTAGGTTTGGGAAGGATCCTTGGGTGAGCAAGCATTGACACACATGGCCGTGGCAGCCTATATCGCAGGTCAAGCAGAGCCCACGAGACTAACTCGACAAAAACATGGTCCGCCAGCGGGTTGCTGTGGGCGCGCTGCCGGTAGAAGCGCTTCTGAGGCAGACCGGTCACGCTGCTCACAATGCCGGCCATTCTGCATGATTTGCACGCCGAACAAGCAAGAGGAAGATCAGCCGCTGCACTCGCACAGACGCCCCACACAAGACCTGCCTCTGCCTCTACCTCCATCACCAAACATGATCGCCACACTCACGCCTCATTCCGGGGCTGGCCTTCAGCAACCGGCGCTACCGGCGCCGTCGTTGCCGCCATTGCCTCCTGCTGCTCCATCGCCCCGAAAAAAAAAAAAAAAAAGTTTCTCCCACGCGCGCATATTTCTTCTGACATTTTCATTTTTGCTGACAAAGCGGGTTTAGGAGGGGTTTTGAAAGCTATTCATGAGATAACTGTTGAATCATATGGAGGTATAGTGTGAGTTCTTGTCGCAATTATGGAAGATATTGTCGCAAGCAAATAGTTTGTGGTGTTTGATGCATTTTTTATTTTATTTTTTGAAGTTAAGGTGAGGTGGCAGCGTCAGTGGCAGCGTCAGTGGCAGCGCCAGTGGCAGCGCGGTCCCTGACGCGCGGTTTGCTCTACCGGGTGAACAGTCTCGTGGGGGGGGCGGGTTTCAGTCGTCAGTCAGAGATGAATTTGTTGGACGTGGTGGTCGAGCTGCAAGTTTCAAAATGGTGATGGACTTGTTTTCTTACCAGAAGCTGCCCTTGACAGAAGCTGGTCGTGAAGGCCAGCGGGTGTGCTCACGGTTGGCCTGAGTTGCTTTTTAGCAGGCAGTGCTCGTTCAATTCTCTCTTGACGGCCAAGTCTATCCAGCAACGAAAACCAATCAGCACCATGGCTGCCCCAGTGGCGGAGAAACTGACCTACCCTTCAGCGCGTCGAAGTGATCAGGTTGACACTTTCCACGACGACGTTGTGCCTGACCCTTACAACTGGCTGCACAACCCGGACAGCGAAGAGACCAAGGCCTTTGTCGACGCTCAAAACGCCATCTCTGAACCTTTTCTCAAGACCGAGCTTCGTGACAAGTTTCGCCAACGGTACTGCCTATCAGGCCTTGCCTGCCCTGCCAACGTCAACCTTGCTTGCTCGCCCAACCACATTTCCCATGATGACAAGCCTAATATCGTACGACTGTTGGCTCGTCCCTGTTTGTTCTGGGTCCCAGACTCGGTGAACTTTTCAACTTTCCCAAGCACGGCTGCCCGGGAAAGGATGACCAAGGCCGCTACTTCCACTCTTTCAATCCAGGGCTGGCCAATCAATCGGTTGGTCATGCGTGTCTCCACTGACCCACCTCACACAGGAGAACCACTTTCTTGCACATTGGCGGGGGAAAAAAGTGGGGACACGGTGGAGGGTCTCTCTTATGATCAATGCGTTGGGGCACCTTGGCGTGGTGTCCCTTGTGTCTATACTCAAGACCCTCTGCTTGCTAAACTCATGTCCCCCTGTAGACCATCTATTGGCGCGAAAAGCTTGAAGATGAGCCCAAGGTGTTGCTGGATCCCAACACCTGGTCTGAAGATGGCACCGTTGCTCTTGCCGGCTACGGTGTCTCCAAGGACGGTCGCTATGTGGCCTACCTCGTCTCTGCCTCGGGCAGCGATTGGCGTACCATCAAGGTCCGCCAAGCCTGCCCACCCCTCGGCCCTCTCGTCACCCATGGCCGCCCTTGATCTTGTTGGCGTCATCACTCACAGAGAGCACTCCCTTTTGATAGGTGCTGGACATGACCACGGGTCAGGATCTGGAGGATGAGCTCAAGTTTGTCAAGTTCTCATCCCTCAGCTTCACGCACGACTCCAAGGGTTTCTTCTACAACCGCTACAACCCGCCCAAGGTGTGATATTTGATGCCGTCCCGTCGTCCCACGAGGTGGCGTAGCCCTCATCAGTCACATGGCTGGCTTCATGCATCAGGACTGCACCGATCCAGGAACAGAGACAGAAATCAACGAGCACCAAAAGTTGTACTATCATCGCATCGGCACCCCGCAGTCGGAGGACGTGCTTTGCTTTGAGACCCCAGATCATCCCACCTGGCATCTGGGAGCCCAAGTCACAACTGATGGTAGGAAACAAAAGGAAGAGCTGATCTCTTGTTTTTTTTTTTTGTTTTTTTTTCCTTTCCTTCTCCTTTTTTTTTTTCTTCTTCGTTTCATCTTTGGGCACCACACGCTCTCACTTGTGCACATGCCCTCTTTTTGGGGGGTCCTGATGGTTGACAGGCAAGTACATCTTGGTGACGCCTTCCGATGGTTGTGACCCCGTCAACCGTCTGTTTGTGGCGCCGGTCCCAGCCAACATTGATGGTCTTTTGCCCAATCTCCGCAAGGTAGCCGTTGCGTTTGCTTCGCCCTCGCTGTGCCTTTTTTTTTTTATTGTTTTGTGTTCCGCTTTGGTTTGGCATACCCACTGCCCGTACAAGCGATTGCTCTGGGTTTACTTATACTCAACCCTTCTTGTACTTTTTTGACAGATCGTTGACAACTTCGATGCCAAGTATGCGTACATTGGCAACCGCGGCGATGAATTCTTGTTCGAGTCCAACCTTGATGCACCAAACAACAAGGTCTTCAAGGCCGATTTGAGCGCCTCAGAGGTACGGTGCAGTGCAGTGCAGTCTACTCGGCTACAATCGGGCTGGACAAGAGTGCCAGCGGCATGGCATGCAGATGCGTTACCCTTTTGCACGAAATGAGGAACCGACGGTGCCCGACGAGTTTCTCGAATCCTCTCAACCCTTCCCCTCCGGGTTGGCTCTATAGGTCAAGTGGGAAACGCTGATTGCCGAGGCCGACAGCGTTCTTGAGGATGTCGATCTGATCAATGAAAAGTTTCTCATCGCCACCTATTTGGAAGATGTAAAGAGCGTTGTCAAGGTGGGCAGCAATGGTGGCGCCGCTTGGCCGGCAATCCTTCTCCCAGCGTGTCAACGAGCCCCAGTTGGGCCAAGACCCCATCAACTCGAAATTTTCCCAGTTCATAGTTCCCTTTGCTTGGTGACTCGGATCTTTTTTCAGGTTATGGACCGAGAAACGGGCAAGCATTTGCACACGCTTGACATCCCCGTGGGCTCTGTGGGTTCTGTGCGTGGTCGCCACGATGATCCCGGTCAGTGCGGCCGTTGGCATTCTGTTCTTGTACATGAATTACTTTCGCTTGTCACTTGTGCTATCGTTCCGGTGACAGCTTCTGCAAGCTTGATGGCCCTTCTATCTCATTGTGCGCCTGTGCCCCGACCTTCCTCGTCGACAGAACTTTTCCTGAGCGTCACCACCTTTACGTCACCGACTACCATCTATCGTACCATGCTGACGACAGCCGACGCAGTGAGTTTGATCGCTTGCCCACTCTCTTTCGGTTCATCGGCACGTTCAGGGCTCTTTATTGGTGCTCGATGGAAGCCTTACGAACCCCGACCTTCTTTTTTTTTTTTTTTTTTCACCTACTACCTCGATTCCGCAGCCCCTGGAAGTCTTTTACAACACCGAGATTGCAAACTACAATTCGGAGGATATCGCGGCCAAGCAGGCAGGTTTTATCGCGCCCGACAGTATGCGCACGGCGCGTCTGTCGTGATTCTGCTGGCTGACACCACAAGCCACGAACTGACCTGTGATGGTGGTGCAGGTGTTTTACAACAGCAAGGATGGCACTCGCGTTCCCATGTTCCTTGTCGGGCCCAAAGGTGTGTGAGAGCAACTTCAGAAATTCGGGCCGGTGCAACGCCAACAAGCCACAGATAACGATTCTGTGCTGTCTCCAACACCTCGCTGTAGGAGTTGAGCTCAACGGCGAGAACCCGGTGCTGTTGTACGGCTACGGTGGCTTCAACATCTCGTTGTCCCCCTACTTTTCGGCCTCGCGTGCCTTGTTTGCCAAACACTTGGGCGGTATTTTTGCCATTGCTAACCTGCGAGGAGGTGGCGAGTATGGTGAGCGCTGGCACAAGGCAGGTAGCCTTGCCAACAAGCAAAACGTCTTTGACGACTTTTGCGCCGCCGCTGAGTATCTCATCAAGGAGAAGTACACCAACCCCAGCAAGCTAGCCATCATGGGCGGCTCCAACGGCGGTCTCCTTGTTGGTGCCTGTGCCAACCAGCGCCCCGACTTGTTCCAAGCCGTCATTGCCCAAGTCGGCGTCATGTCAGTTTAGCGGGTTGCTTTGCTTTAGTCTGGCGTACCCTCTGGCTGCATGCCACATGAAGGGCGAGCTGGTGACTCACTCTCTGCTCGTCTTGTGGCTGACTTGTAGGGACATGCTGCGCTTTCACAAATTTACAATCGGTGCGTAGTCTTGGCCTGCCCACCCTTCTCACTCGACGGCCACCCGACTCTGCGTTGCCCTCATCAGCATTTTGGGTGCCTGCACTCGGGCATGATCAGGTCATGCCTGGCGCACGGACTTTGGTGATCCGGAGAAGCCCGAGGAGTACAAGTGGGTGCGGGCCTATTCTCCCTTGCACCACATCAAGCGTCACGAGAAGCACCAGTACCCAGCCATCCTCGTGGCTACGGCCGATCACGATGATCGCGTCGTGCCCTTGCACTCTCTCAAGTACATTGCCGAGCTGCAGGCCACCCTGGGCGCTGATCCCAAGCAGGTATGCAGCTCGATGCCTCTGTTTTTCCAATTTTGCCTCAGCCTTGTCAAACAGAACTGTGACCGAGAGCATCCTCACCAACATGTGCTTTTCCCGTCAGACCAATCCTCTGTTGGCGCGCATCGAGGTCAAGGCAGGCCACGGCGCTGGCAAGCCCACGTCCAAGATGGTATGCTGTGCCCCTCTGGCTTCCCGCACTCTACTGCAGCTCCTCGAGCCTTGCTGCAACCGGCACTCAACTTGGCTGCTTCTTGTTGGAATTCTCAACCTCAGTTGGATGAGGTCGCAGATACCTATGGCTTTCTCGGACGCACCATGCAGTTGACTTGGAGGGACTAGATGGTCTGCTTCATGCTTTGTCCAGAATTGATGGCGCTCCTCTCAAACCGGGCTCTGTTTTGGAAGAATGTGCCAGTCGGGGGGCCCACGCTGATCGCATTCATTCCCATTTAAGCTTGGTCAGGACACAGCAAAGGAGTCAGGAAGAATAGTTCAAGGGCATTTATTAGTGGAAAAGAAAAACACGTCATGGCTGACGGGCCTTGACCTGCGCTGCACCGGCCCACGTTATCACGATATTGGGGCCGATGTTGCAACTTCAAGAATATGGTCAATGCGCCACAGGCGCCTTGGTCAAGGTCTGTCCAGTAGGGGCGGTGTCTTGCTTACACAAGCACGGCCACGTCACCATAGTCGCTAGCTGGCAAGCGGGGCTGGCAAGGCACAAGCCTGAAAATGCACCCGAGGCCCAGAAACGAAAGTGAGTGCTTGGCTGATTGTCGACAGTGCACAAAGGAACAACGGTGCCTACCAGAGTGGCGAGAGGGGACCACAGATGCGACGAAGGCCGTGCAGACCCGAGTGCCTGTGCTCCGACTCAATCTATGGCATCGGGGTGGTCAAGACAGTTGGGGTCAAGGGGTGGCGGAGAGGAAGTGGGATATAGCACCGGGGGCCTTGGTGCCAGTGGCACGACAAGACAGCCTCAAGTATCAAAGGCCAAACCTTTTTCATCGACTCGATGGTGGTGGCATCGGTGAGGAGCTGTACAAGCTGATCCACGAGCATGATGGCGGTAAACATGCCAAAGAGCATTGCTTCGACGCCCAGAAAGGTGTTGGCGAGGATGCGTAGCGGGGACCAGGGTTGGCAGAGAGCTAGCTCGCGCTCAGTAGTCAGGACCTCTTCAATGGGCAGGCGGTGCCCGTTGCGACGCAGGGGTGGACAGATGATGACGAGCCTAACCATCATGGCCGCAGAATACAAGCACAGCGCAAAGGTGTAGAGAACAAACAACATGAAGAACTTGTGGTTGCGTCGGCCGATACCTGGCAGTGCGGGGGTTACAGTCAAAAGCAGTTGCAGGGGTGGAATGAGGTAGGACTGAGATCCAGTGGATAAAATATGCATCAACAGACAGGCAGGCAAAGGTCGCCCAGGAGGCCAAGTGCATCAAACGCGCAGGGGGGCGGGTAAGGGCTCAAAAGTTGGCATGCTTACAGTTGTTGCTCCAAACACAGTGATGGTCCAAATCTTCGACGCAGCCACGACAAGTGCTGCGACGCAGTCATGATTCCATCATGAAAGGCACGATCAGAAGCGTGCGAGGCATGCAGGCCAGATGAGCGCATTGCATGAGCCGGTGGGCGGAGAAAGGGGGGGTGGGCGCCAAGGTAATCAATCACCTGCAGTGGTGGCTGCGCAGAGGGCGAGGCTGCACACAGCGGGCACAGTAAGTAGCTGTGGACTTTTTGGACGCATCCAAGGGTCGCGTGCGCCAGGTGGGCTTGATCACTGTATTCAAAAAAGGTGCCATACGGATGCCATGTGCTTGAGCTCGAGGCGGACGGTGGCAAGGGCCGGGCAGGGAGGAAGGGGTGCTTCGGGCAACGTACGGCCGGGATCTGTCAGCATGGCACGGAGATGGGAGACGGTGGCCATAAAGTAAAGGGTGAAGACGACATAGTGGTGATAACAGCCGGGTTCTAGTAGATTGTAGCGAATCTAGCAAGGCGGTGCTGAGACATGAGGCGGACGGGAAAGCCAGCTCGGATCATGCAGAAAGGCATAAAAAGGCACGAGTCGGGCTGGACGTTACGTACCGCACACAAGCCGTACAGAAGCAGCGCGTGCGTCAAACCAGCGACCACAATTCCGGCGGTATCGTCCACCAGCCTCATCCTCCTGGCCACGCCGCGCCAGTCCCCGGTCAAACAAGATCCTTCGCCCCACTGATCGTCCGTCACCAGAGACGGTCAGTGACAAGTGAGAGCAGAGCGTTAGAGAGGCAGTGCACGAACGAGTGAACGTAAGAGAGTGAACGTAATTGTGTGCAAAGTCTCAGAGAGTGGATGGGAAAGATCGTTCCTGACAAGAGAATGCTCCAAATTACCAAAAACGGGAACTGAACTAAGCATGCTGAAACAGAGATTAACGTTGAGAAAGGATTTATCTCAGAGGAGGGTACCGAGCTGCTTCCCAGTAGATGAGATTGATGTAGAAATCAGACAAAGGAAAGAGATGCAAGTGTGAACGTTTTTTTTTATTTTTTTATTTTTTTGCTTCTTCGTCTCGGACGCGTCAGTGGCACGGCGTCAGTGGCAGGCGGAGCAGGTCGTGTGCACAAGGTCTCCAGGACGCCTGAACGCGTGGTGTGAATGTGAAGGCGACGACACGTGTACCACTGCCCCTGGGAGAGTGCAGTGTACGCATGCAAGGTTTGGTGGCGTGAGCAGCCAGCTCATTTCACTTTGGACGAGCCCGCCGCTGCAGCTCTGCATCGAAGCTGCAGCCACACCACACCGCCACACACCGCGCAACCATCACCATGGCAGACGAAGGGATGGATATTACCGAAGGTATGGCCTCTACCCCGCTTGCCCGATGAGCGTGGCAGGCCCAGTCATGCGCTAGCCCCTCGACCCATGTTTGAAGCACCATTCATGCCATGCTGAGGACTCACTCGCTGTGCAACACGGCTTGTCTCACTCAGACATGCCGGGCGAAGTTCATTTGGCCGAGTCACCATTTGTACGTGCCACCTCTTCCCAAGCAACAACCTAATGGGATGACATTGCTGGGTGCGAGTGTGCCGTGCCCTCACCCTGTGCCCGAATGCTTTTGTAGCCGGATTTGCGGGCATACATCATGCAGTATCAGGGCTTTAATCGCTTCGCTCGACTCGACTTTTTGGCCCGCTGCTGCCCGCCGCTGCAAATTCCCGCCCTGACGTGAGTCACAAAACTCGTCATCTTGTTGGCTCGAACCTCCTCGCCATCTCGCGCCACCTTTCCGCCGTGTTGCGCCTCATGTCCTTGTGGCTCCCCTACAGTTTGGCGCAAGAGCTGAGCGCAACATTGTCCTCGCCCGAGCTCTACGAGTCTGCCTGTGCTCGCCTAAAAGTTGCTTGGTTTGTGGCCCTGGCCTGTCATTTTTTGCAGTTGCCCTGTTCTTGCAAATGTCGTGCAAGGGGGGCTCGAGGCGGCTGCAAGTTCGGGTTCTGACCACATCCTGGCGTTCTTGGCAACTATAGCGAAGCGCAAGGCGTGCCCCTTCCTGCCAACATGCCCACCGAGGCTGAGATGGCAACCCGGCGAGAACAGGCCCTCATGGCGGTGAGTTTGAGACTTTGTACAAAAGGGCGGTCTTAGTGTTTGAGAAGCATACAACAAGAGACCAAGACAAGCTAGGACGAGAATAAAAGAGAGAATAAAGAGAAACAGGCCAAAATACATGGGATGACCGGGCACATGGCAATGAACAGGCCAAAATACATGGGATGACCGGGCACATGGCAATGAACGCTGCGCCACCAGCCGACCGTCTTACTTGAATGACCATGGACCACGTGATTTGATTAGGAGGCACAATCGGATCAGCCGCTCGCGCCACACGAGCAGTTGGGCGATCGCGCTACCTTGTTGCGCAAGTCTCACATTGAATACGAGCGCGGCGACCTCACGTATGTCAACATTCGAGCACCATCCTCCAAGCCTGCCCACTGGTACCGGTGCTTGTGGCCATTGTGACGGCCTTGAAACCGCCCCATGTGCACAGAGCGGCCGCGCGATACCTGGCGCGCGTGCCACACTACTGTAAAACGCCCGAAGACATGCTGCAGTACAGTCTAGAGAGTGCGCGCTTGGCAGCAGAACAGGGCATGTGGGCCCACGTCATTACCCTTGTAAACAAGGAACGCTTGTCCAAAATCTTACCCGATCACGTAAGCCTCGTTCCTCCCCCGGACGCATCCCCAGCCGCCAGAACGCATCCCTATTCACACAAGCACTCGTTATCATTGCAGCCCAAGGCCGAAGCACAATTCAATTGTCTTGAAGGATTGGCTACCTTCATGATTGGCAAGCTTGACAAAAGCGTGCAGCTGCTTGCAAGTGCAGCCTACACTGAGAATGGGACCGCTTGTGAGGTGCGCCACTTGACCTGCCTCGCTTCCGGGGCATGATGCCTTGTGGTACAGATCGATCCACACCAGCTGACTGTGCGCGCGTCATCTCATCCACCGCCTGATTGTGGGGTCGACCTCAACCTTCACCGACATAGCTGATGACTTCGCGTGACCTAAGCCTGATGTGTGGACTCTCTGCCCTGGCTTCGCTGGATCGTCCCGAGCTCGTGCTGCTCTTGCAGAACACGTCAGTGTTGATGACCAACGGGCTGGCGTTGGCAAATTTCGATTTTTCCTCCAGCGCACTCACCATCTCTGTTTGATCACACGTTTTCGCCATACAGCGAACTTAAGCAACACATGGAAAGCTGCCCAGAGATACGTGAGCTCTTGCGCGCTATGGTGAAGGCACAGTATCGTTCCCTGCTGGATATTTTGCAGAAAGTCAAGGTGAGACAAGGCTGATCGACCTGTTGTAGCGATGTACCTCCAGTCAGCTGCGCAGGCAGCTAGGCGCGAGCCGAGCTCACACGTCCATTTTCCATTCATGATAGCCTCTAGCCATGGCTGACATGTACATCAACAAGAGTTGGGCCCGACTCTATGAGAACATTATCGCACGCGCCATGATCCAGGTGCGTGCAGGCTTGGCACGATTCCCCAAACCCCACTGCTGTGCTCATTGTGCGCCCGTGCATTGTGAACTGTTGGCAGCATGTCACGCCCTATGTTGCACTTGACTTGCATGCCATGGCTGCCACTTTCAATATGGAGCTTGAGGTAAGTAAAGTTCAGCGTGGCTCCATGCACTTTTTGCCGACTGAGAGGACCATGCTGACTTGGTCGGGGTTGACTTGTATGGCGACAGGCGTTGGAGGAGCAATTGGTGACTCTTATCAGTGAGGGGCGAATTGCGGCACGAATCGACAACCAACACAAGGTCTGTTGAGCCATGTGCGATTTTGCTTGAGAGCCAGCATGCCACCATCCACGATAACGTGCGTGCGTGTGTGTCTATCTATGCGTCTGTGTGGACGTGCGGTGCGGCGGAGCATAGGTGTTGCACGCGACGCAAGGCAACGTGCGGGCCGCGGTCATCGAAGACTCAGTGCAAACAGCCCGGGATCTGGTTGACAACACGATGGTCTGTCCTCAATCACATGTTGCTTTGCCATCCTCTTCACCTCAGCTGTCGCTCATCTTGACACTTTGTATATCTGGTGATGCCTGCTTTCAGAACATGCTGCTTCGGCTGCACCTGCAGCAACACAAACTCGTGGCTCGAGAAAAGAGCCTGCCTGGCGAAGCCCCGATCTGAGGCGCTGATCCGAGTGCGCTGACTTGTGCCATAAGACGACACCTTGGGGGGCGGAAGGTGTTGTTTGTTTCAATTTTGTCCGAACCGGCGCGAAGCCGGCACAATTGCAATCACAACACAAACATGACACCCTGCTCTTCTACACCCGTCGTCCACCCAATCGACCATCCGATGTCAATCATACCCGTGTGACGAGAACGAGTTGACACAAAACTACCACACAAAGCGAAACAAAAACTGGCGTTTCTTTTTTTTTGATGCTCTCTCTCTCAAAATAATCTCTCTCTCTCTCCTTTTTTTTTTTTTTTTTTTGTGCGCGCGACAGGCAACATGGCAGCGCCATCACTGGGCAAGACGTCGACCCATGTGCATTTCTGCTGCCAGCGTTGTAGGCGTGGCTTGGCATCTGAATCCATCACTGACCTTAGAACACAGATCAATAGCGATGCCGCTGGGGGTGAGTGGCTTGGCCGGTTGGCCGTCATCAATGGCAGCAAGAGGCTCATGAGCAGGAGTTTGTGCGCCTGCACGTCGATTTGGCAGGTACAATGGACGACCTCTTGATTGGCCTTGAGGCAGAGGCAGAAGCAGTAGACGTTACTGCATCTACGCCCGGAGACAAGCCGCTGGAACCTGCTGCGGCCTCGGCCGGCGCTTCTTCCCCGCCGGCCGATCAACAGGTGAGGTGGGGATTGGCACACGAGCAGCTGACAGTCAGCGCCCACCATCTGGGGCTCGGCATTCAGCAACACGCCGGGCAAGACGATCTTTCAAATATCACACAGATTTCACCACCTTGTTCCCTCATGATGACGCTGCTGCCTTCCTCTCATAGACGCCAGTCATTGATGTGGAGCTCTTGCCGTACGCAGGCCGCGCCATATTTCCCCTCTTTCGCCTGTCCAACCTTCTAGATTGCGCGGGCAGCCACGACTGGGCTTTTTTGCTCACATATCTCACACCCACTGCATGTAGTAGCTCCGGTGAAAACACCAATATGGAAGCTCTTGAGCAAGCCCTCGGTGCCATGCAGAACCCAAAACTTCTGCAGGAGCTCTTTGATCATTTGTCAAGCAACAGCGAGATTGATCATCCGCTGTGCGAGGTAAAAACTTTGCATGGCCTGCCGACTGTGCTGCTTAGGCAGATGACTGGCTCTGCCACAATGTAGATGAGACGGACTGGCCTTGCCTCAACAATGTCGCGACCCTTGCATGCCTTTGGTTGCCGCAGGAGTGCACCAATTCGCTTCTCAACAACCTGGATCGGGAGCTTCGAGACCTAGGCGAGCGTCGTCGCGAGATGAAGTAGGCTCGTCTCCGCTCAATGTTTGGCCTAGACCTCTCTCCTCTTCCATCTGGCTCGCTCAAGCTTCACGTCCGTCCCTCGCATCCGGCAGTGACTTTTTGGCAGCTTCGCAGTCACACTCTGACCATGCCCCACCAGAGGAAGAGCTTCTCGACCAGCTTCGTCTCGTGGACGAAGAGATCGAGACCCTCAGCAAGCAGCTCACTGATCTTGACGCCGCTGAAGGTACGCGCGTGCTCCAGCGGCCAACTCTGCGGGCTCATGCTTTGGGGGGGCGCCTTGTAACCACCGTTCGCTACTCATTTCCTGCACCTGTGTCGCGCCACCAGCCGATCTGCGCAGCGCTATTGGAGACAAAGAAGCCACAATTCAAGAACTCAAAAACGAGGAACAAAGGTGAGCGGCAATTTGAAAACAGCCGCCGCCATTTCCCTTGCCCTACACCGGTCGCCCCTGTGGCCCCATCGTGGTTCACAATCTTGCGTGGTGTGCGCCTCAAACTCATGGTTTTGTCACACGGTGACCGATTCTCGCAACCAGGCATTTGCAAAGCTTGCATGAAGCGCAGTTGGATTTGCAGGACGTTGACGATGAACGCGCCGAGTGAGTTCTTGGTATTCGTCAGGCCAAGCCGTCTGTGCGGGCAGAGTTTTTGCGCCCATGCCCATCGTCCCCTTGCCGCGCGTAGGCTTGAGATTCAGCAGCAAGAACTGAGCGACCAGCTCGAGTTTTTGAGGCGCACCAATGTTCTCAACGATGCATTTCACATTTGGTGCGCTTTTCCGAGACATACAGCTCGCTGAATTCGAGCTTGGCTCTACTCTGTACCTGTGGCATTCTCATGTCCCGTGCCTTTGGGCGTGACGTCCATGTCATGCCCATGATCTAGGTTTGACAACCACTTTGGCATTATCAATGGATTTCGTCTTGGCCGGCTGCCTGTCGTTCGAGTACGTTGATCCGACCATGGATGCTGGGCTAGTTTTGTGCCCATGACTTTAATAAAGAAGCTTGGTCGAACATGGATGCAATTTGCGACACTTTCACTCCCTTTTTTTTTTCTTTCCGATTCATCGTCTTATTGTCAGGTGGACGCAGATGAAATCAACGCGGCGTGGGGTCAAGCCCTACTACTGCTGCATGTCATGAGCTTGCGTTTAAACGTGCACTTTTCAAAGTCTGTGCACGCTCCCACATGCCCCACGTCTTGCCCAACCATGGTTCTTCTACTTTTGTTCTTGTACCCAGGTCGTCACCAGCGCTAATCATCTCACTTCATTGTTTAATGTGTCTCTCAGATACCAGCTCGTGCCGAACGGCAGCTTCTCACGGATTGAGGAGGTGGCTACCAAAGCCAAACTGCCGCTGTATATGAGTGGCAGTCGCTCCATGTTTGGTTATTCCTCTGCCGAGTACGTGCGCTCAGCGCGCCCATCTCAAGACTTGCACCCTGCACCGTGACCCGCCCATGACTCGAGTCTGCTTTGTGATACTGGTCCCACGTCGTGTCACGGCTCACGGAAATTTTTTCTTGGAATGCAGCTTTGATCGAGCTATGGTGGCTTTCTTGCACTGCTTGGACGAATACCGTAGCCAGATTCAGGCCAACGACCCTCACTTTGACCTACCCTACACGTAAATGCTTTTCCTTTCGTTGTGCTGGAGCTTGCAATATGACCCATCTACTAAAACGAGTTTTTTTCTGTTCTTTGTCTTTTTTTTTGTTTTTTTTGCGCCATCCCTCTTACCGCCTGCCTGCCTGCCTGTCGCCTTTTCTTGCTTGCTAGAATCCAAGATGATGGTCTCTTGGATCGGCGTCAGGAGAAACTGTCAGTCCGTCTCAAGTCAGCCGAAGAAACCTGGACGCGAGCTCTTAAACTCATGCTCACGGATCTCAAGTGGTGCTTGGCCTGGCTCTGCAAGCAAATGGTCTGAGTCGACATGCCAACTTCTACGCGCTTCCCTTGTTACGCGCGCTACCCTGATTGTTCATGACTGTGACTATTCATCTCTTGGCTGGGCCATGCCTTCGACACGTGTGCAAATAAATTAATCAACAATCTTTGTTCACACGAAGGAAAAGCAGAAGATCGATGCCAGCCTCGACACAACGCGACTCGCAAGCAAGAAGAGCACACTGCACACCGCACACCGCACACCGCACACCGCACACCGCACCGCGAGGGACAGGCTGGCTAGGGTTTAGCAGACAGACATTGCCTGACACTACTTGCTCCGAGTAGAAGTTGAATTGCGCCGCTGCGAGCCACGGCGACTGCTTCGCGAGCCCGATCGGCTGCGCACGAGAGGCAGCTCTGGTTCAATGTAATCTACAGCCTACGTAACACCGAAGCAAACCCCGAAGTGAGAACGAAACAACAGCCAAGCGGCAAGGGTGCGATGTTAGGTGCAAAGCAGCTGGTGAGCCGTGCGTGTCCGGCCGCGCGTACGGTGGGGCAAACGTACATTAGGATTCGAGTCCAGGGAAAAGGTGTTGGCATCATCGTCTCGAGGCTCGCGTTGAAAAACGGGATACTGTTGCTCCGGGCGGCTTGTGGCACGCGGCCCGAGGAGTACCGAGACATCGCCCGGAGCTGCCGAGTCAGTTTTTGGCTCCTCCACGGCCACCTCGGCCAGCGCAGCAGCCTTCAAGGCCTGCGCGGCTGCCTGTTGGCGCCTCTCTTCAGCCTTTCGAGCGCGGTGCTGCACCTCCTGTGCCGTGGCCTCCTCTGCCCGCCGCGCCTCTTCGCGTGCACGATGGTCCGCTTCGCGTCGAGCCCGTTCAGCTTGCTCTTGTTCGCGCCGACGACGCAGCGTAGCCTCGGCTTCCTGGCGCTCTCGCTCGATTTTCTTGCGACGGCGTTCTGCCTCGTCCTCACGTTGTTGCCGCTCGGCTTCCTCGCGATCTCGCTGTTGAGCCCCATCCTCCTTTTGCCGTTCTGCTTCCAAAAGCTGAGTTGCCGTGCCCGTCTGCACATCGTGTCGAATGGCCTCTGTATGTGGACTCAGCTCATTGAGGTTGTCGCTACGCGTCGTCACGGGCAACTGCGTGTCCGACGTTTGGCGGTACGTGGCCGCTTCGTGTGCGTCTGCACCCGTCTGCCGCGTGGGCATGAAGCCATCTGTGGGCACCAATACGGCAGGGGTAAAGGTCTTGCTGCGAGACGGCTCCGCAAGCTCTGTCTCGGCGTAGGGCTCCACGATCGGCACGCCATAGTCCACAGGATCGAGCAGATACCCATAGTCGGGCGGCCCACTGTTGTGCGCTGGCACGGGAGCTGGCACCCAGGCATGATTGCTCAAGGGCATGTCATCGAGGTGAGTGGATTCAATCTCACTGGCCGCATCAAAGTCAAGCATGCTCTCGTAGGTGGCGTGGGAGTCCACCGACTGACTCAGACCATCAGTGTAGCGCGAGTTTAGCGGACGGTGGCGCAAGGGGACCACGTTGCCGCGCTCCTGGCTATACCCGTAGCCATCAGATGTGCTGCCAAACTCGCTATCTTTCTCTCCAAGCTTGGGGGTGATCATGGCAGCCGTACCGCGGCGTCGGAAAATGACCACCACAATGATGACGGCCAGCAGCAGAAGGGCACAGAGGACAACAATAATGACAAGCAACTCGCCGCTAATACTGGCTTCATTGCCTTTGCTTGAGCCCGAAATGGGGTTGACGGGGCGCGCCTCTTCGCACACTGGTGCATTTCAATGGAAACAAGCAAGCGGTGAGCAACCATCAGATCGGCTTTGCAAGAAAAGAAACGGGCGACTGCGAAAGCGCCAACTATCGGATCACCCACAAGCCATGCCACGCAAACCAGAGCAGGGAAAAAAAAAAAAAAAAGAGAGCATCAATGAGAGTTGTAAGCTTACCGCGGTCCGACGTTGCTGTGGGCTCGACACCTGCAGCGTTGCGACAAGGCGCGCGGCGCGGATGAACAGACGTGAGCATCGAAACTTTGAAAGCTGAAGTCGTGTCAAGGTGATTGCAACGCCGTCCCATGAGTGGCAACACGGCAGGGATGGCTTACTTTCAACTTCGTTGGTACCGCATACGGCAACTGGCTGGCATATGCGGTCGCTGGTGGCAGTGGGGGGCTGAGCAACGTATTGCTGGAGACTCGAGGTACAGAGCTTCGTCGCAAAGTCCAGACTGGCGGTCCGGCAGGCAGCATTGGCCGAGCCCAATCGGGTGCAGGTGGTGCAGTGCTCGCGTGGACCACTCGCCACGTCGAAGCAAGCGCTAGTCGAACGCACAGCTTGCAAGCAGCTGCCACTCACGCTGGCGTTGGCAAAAATGGAATTCTCACACGCGTTACAGATGGCGGTTTCCCAAGCGTCGGGCTCCAGCTTGCATTGGGTCGAGTTGGCGCACAAACGATTGGACGTGGGAGACGGCGTGCGCGTTTCAAACTGCCATTCAGCACACACCGTGGTGGCAGCGCATTGCCGATCCGACGTTGCCGTGGGAGCCCGCTGCACAAAGGCACCATCCTCACACGTGCTGATGACGCTGCACAAGGTGGAGCTGGTCGTAGTGCCGGCTTCCCGAATAAACTCGCCCTCACCGCAGCCCGAATCGTAGCAGCACACTGAGCGAGTTGGACGGGAGAACAGTCAAGCGTGTCAAAGGGTGAGATTTAGCATCAAAGGCACATTGGAGGAACATCACTCGGCTAGCAAATTGGGTAAGGTAACCAGGGGAACAAAAGTGACAAGTGCCCGCACCCCTCTTCTTCTCCCCACGCACACGCGTGTTGTTTTTGGCAAGAGCGCACAGACACACCTCGATCGGTCGTGGCCGTGGGTGTCAAAGCCTCGTACTGCACCAGTGGAGCTCGGCACAGGTCCTCAAGCCAGGTCGCGAGGACCTGATCGCATGCTGGCGAGGCGTCGATGCAGTCGCAGTGGAAATTGTTAAAACCTGCCAAGTCAAATGTGCTAGTGCACGCGGGATGGCGCTCCGTGGTGCTTGCACACACGGCTGACTGGCGCGCCAACATACGGCAGGAGCTACTAAAAGGTGCAATGCCGTCCGAACAGGCAGAGCAAATGTTCTCAATCATAAAGGGACGTGTACGAGCGCACGAGGCTACTTCTTCGCAGACAACGTCCGAAGTGGTTGTGGCCGGCTGCAAGAGGTACTCGTCGTTCGAACAGGCACCGACTGGTGAACAGACGCGATTGGACGTAGGCGTGGGTGCCAACACCTCCCATTCACTAGTAGTGCAGGCACGGAGACTTTGACAGACAATGTCGCTGGAAGATGTAGCCGCAGCCAAGCGATATTCACCGCTGGCACAAGAGGGGCTCACGGCGGAGCAGCATCGATCACTCGTTGGGGTGGGGGCATGAGTTTCGTACTCGTTGCTGGCACACGTGGCCACAGTCTGGCACTGTCTGTTGGAGGTCGCTGTGGGCGGAGCAGTCATAAACTCGACCACCGGAACGCATGGCTCAACGTACGCGCAAGCCCGGTTGGTGGTTGGTGTAGGTGCGCGTGTCTGGTACTGGTCTTCCCCACAAACTGTCAGATTGCGGCACTCGGTGTCGGATAGCGTCGTGCACGCACGATACAAGTACTGTGATGCGCTGCAGGAGCTGCAAGTCCGGCACTGGGTGTCGGCAAAAGCGGAGCATCGCTGCTGGGCATACTCGTTGGCCTGGCACTTGGTACAGTTGCTGCAGACGGTGTTGATCACGTTGGAGCATGGCGTTGCCACGTACTGCCAAGTGTTGCAACTGGTACAGCCCTCGCAAACGGTATCGGCACGCGCGGTGCACGGCCGGCTGATACGGCTCGTGCTTGGGCAGGCGGAACAGACGTCACAGATGCGATCCTGCCACGGATACGGCCACAAGCACACGGTGTGAGAATTACGGCAGCGTCCAACGACCTAGGATATCAGATGCCACCGCCGCAGTCCTGTTGCAAGAGCGACGAGCGAGTGCCAGTACCGTGGTGGGTGTGGGGGCAAGTGATTGAAATTCGTTGCCAGCGCACACGCTGAGATCACGGCAAACACGGTCGCTATTTTCCGCCATTTGCATTGAAAAGAAAATTCAAATGGTGAAGCAGTTATACACGCAAACGCGGGCAGAATGAGTCGGCTTGAGAGTCACTGATCTGAGCACTTTTGTCCGATGAGCCAAGCACGATCGCGGCGCCGCCGGCCAAGCTTACCTGGTTGGGGTAGGAGCCCGATATTCAAAGGTCGACAGGTCATCGCAGATGGAAATGTCACGGCACTCGCGATTAGTCAGACTAGTGGGTGGCCGGCTCTCAAACTGTACTGCGCTACATTCTGTCAAGGGGCGGCACACGCGGTCTGAGGTCGTTGTGGCGAGGACGGCAGTATACTCGAATGCCAGGTCGCAGGTGCGCAGCTGCTGGCAGGCCCGATTTGATGTTGAAGTAGGCGCCAACAGCTCAAACTCTTGTTTGGAACAGTAGCTGATGGCGTCACACGTGCGATCCGTGGTGGGAGTTGGCGCCACCAGTTGATATTCGAGCGTGCCCAGGCCTGTGCAGGTGGAAAGCAGCCGACACTGGCGATTGGTTGTGGTAGTGGGCGCCACAATCTCATATTCTTGCGCGGTGCATTCGCGCAGGGGTGTGCACTGCGCATCACCCGAAGGCGTGCAGATGCGCGAGGCATAGCTTGATACATTGCAGGTTGAGCATGCAGCACAGACCCGATCCGACGTCGTGGTGGGGGCCATGGCCTGAAAGCTGATGCCAGAGACGCAGGCGCTCAAGGCCGTACAAACGCGATCCGAATCGGGACTGGGTGCGAGTACTTCATACTGAGTACTGGAACAGCGCGTAAAGTCAGCACAAACACGATCGGACGAAGGAGTTGGCTCCAGCTGCTCGAACTGCCCAGGCTCGCACACTGTGAGGTCCTGGCAGCGCCGATCGGTCGTACTCGTGG